TGCTTTGAGAAGCATATCCTAAGGTTACAATTGGAGAGGTGGGCTGATACATATATCCATATATATGTACATGGATGCTCACTGCATGACTGCTTATAAAAACCAAAATATATTTTTAGAAAGGAAAATTACTCAAGTATCCTGCCCTGGTCAGGTTTTGTACATGCTGGAGTCATCAGTGGCTTTTGTGTTGCTGAGCCACATACTCATGTCCCCTGGGCTCCATCAGCAACAGGGATAGGGAGTTACTTAAATAGTGTACTCAGAACAGAAAATCCTGATGTTATTAAAAATGAAAAGGTAGGCTGAAGAGATAGCTCAGTGGTTAAGAATACTGTTGCTTTTGCAGAGGATCCAGGTTTGGTTCCCAGCACCCACATGGCAGCTAACAGCCATCCATAACTCCAGTTCTAGGGGATCTGTACCCTCTTTTGGCCTCCATGGTCATTGCAGGACACCAGTGCACTTACATACATATAGGCAAAACACTCATGTACATAAAATAAAAATAAATTAAAAAAAAACAAATTAAAAAGTAGAGCTGGGGGCTGGAGAGATGGCTCAGTGGTTAAGAACACTGCCTGTTCTTGCAGAAGACCGGGGTTCGAATCCCAGCACCCACATGGCAGCTAACAACTGTCCTTAACTCCAGTTCCAGGGGATCCGGCAGCCTCTTCTGTCCTCCTCGGGCATTGCGCAACACAGGTGCACTACCTACATGCAGGCGATACATGCGTACACATAAAATGAAAATAAAATATTAAAAAAGGTAGAGCTACATTATTTGATCAGGAATATATTTTATTATATATTTTTCAAGTTATAGGAAAGTACATAGTAAATCTCACTTCTGAAAACGTTTTTATAGTGTTTTCTTCCCACTCTTGACTACATAGTCACTGTTGTTGGATCATTGTACAAATATGCTGTTATTTCTCCCCTGCAATAAAAGGGAACCCCCCCTCATTTTTCCCCTACTTCCCCTGCTGGCCACCACCTCATTTCTTTGTCACCCTTTGCAGAGATGCACCTGTAATTCCATCCCTCTTAAACATGCTCTGGTCAGATTTTGTACATGCCAGAGTCATCAGTGGTTGTGCTGCTGAGCTCCATACTCATGTCCCCTGGTCTCCATCAGCAGCATCTGACACAGCAGACCACACCCTTCCCCTGCACTGGCCCTTCTCCAGGCCCCGAGAACAGCCCATGCTCTTGCTCTCCTCCTGCCTCTGGCTTTCTCCGTCTCAGTTTTCTTTGTGGCATGCTCTCTTCCTTCTTCCTAACCTTTCTTCTCTGCCACCACACGTTCCTTTGACCTTGTCAACTCATAACTTTATTTAATTTGTTTGCTTTTTTTTTTTTCCTTTTTTTCTTTCTGACAGGGTCCCCCTAGACACAGCCCACCTGGAATTCACTGTGTTCAATCACCTCAATCTCACAGAGATCTGCCTGCCTCTGCCTCCCTAATGCTGGGATTAAAGGTGTGCACCGCCATGCTTGGCATTGGTTTATTTTTTTATAACTCTTTTTTTCATATATATATTTATTTTTTATTTTTTTAATTTTATGTGTATGTGTGTATTGCCTGCATGTAGGTAAGTGCACCCATGTCATGCAATGCCCTCGGAGGACAGAAGAGGCTGTCAGATCCCCTGGAACTGGAGTTACAGACAGTTGTTAGCTGCCATGTGGGTGCTGGGATTTGAACCTGGGTCTTCTGCAAGAACAACCAGTGTTCTTAACTGCTGAGCCATCTCTCAAGCCTATATATATATATTATTTTATGTGTACACATATATTACCTGCATGTCATACAATGCCTACAGAGGACAGAAGAGGCTGTCAGATCCCCTGGAATTGGAGTTGTTAGCTGCCATGTGGGTACAGGATTCGAACCCGGATCTTCTGCAAAAACAGTCAGTGTTCTTATCCACTGAGCTATCTCTCCAGCCCTCTAAACTCTTTTTTCCTTTAAAAGTTTATTGTGTGTGTGTGTGTGTGTGTGTGTGTGTGTGTGTGTGTGTGTATTGGTGCATGTGTAGACATCAGAGGACAGTATGTAGAAATTGGCACCCTTTCCACTATGTGGGCCCCAGGACTTGAACTTAGGTTATTAGGCTTGGCAGGAAGTGCCTTTGTTCACTGAGCCATCAGTGAATGCTGATCACTGGCCCTATTGATTTATCTATTCGTCTTTCCTTTGGGCTGTAGATTAAGTCCAGTGCCTCACACGTGCTAGGCAAACTCTCTACCATGTGCCACCTACCCCCCGCCCTCTTTAATGAAAAGTTTAAACGGGTGGTTGTAACTCAAAGCCTTTTTCCATGTTATCCCTTATTCACAGGAATTCAAAGCAGAAAGCTCCAAATTTCTAGATTTGGAACCAACCAGTTCTTGCCTGTGCTCACCTCTTTCTTACACTGACTTGCTAAGCAAAGCCAGGAAGACCCAGCATCACCCTGTCTACCACCCACCTCTCAATAGATGCCGGCTCAGTAGACACTTTGTGATAGATAAAGTAGCCTATGGATGAATCTGGTTGATCAGGAGAAAAGCACCAGGACACAGATAAAATTCCACTGGAACAGAGTTTATTAGCAAAGGAACATATGGGACAGATTCCTTTCCGGGCAGGGAAAATGTCTGCCCCGGGTCATGAGCTGGGGTCTTTTAAAGGGCAAGGCTTCTGCTTCCTGCAGAAGGTGGGAAGATGTATTTTTTTTTAAGTTGGGAGGGAGTGGGGGTGGGGTGGGAGAGCGGGACTGTTAAAACCTGTACTCTTTAGAGGTCAAAGGGGAAGCCTGCTGTGTTGGCCAAACAGTGGAGAAAAGTCTGCTTCTCTTGACTTCAAAGACCAAGGTGCTTATCAACTCAGTTCCCTTTTCTCAGGAGTTTGAGAAGTCCGTGAGACCCTGTTGGTGAGGGGGTGAGGCTATCTGAACCTTAACACTTTGCTCACCCAGTAATCATTCAGGACCACAGTTTTGTTAAATAATTGTCTACAGTATAACATGAGTCATCATCTTTTTGTCCATCTTTTTGTCTTGCCTTTCTCTACAGTGCTATATAGTTTATTTTTAACCACAAGGCCCCAGTGTAAAAGACCAAATTGTGCTTTAATCCCCAAACTGCTACACAAATAAACCCCAGAATTTCTATAGCTGCACATGATCAGTTTGTTCTCACTCATGAAATCCTGAGTGGTGAGCTGGACAGTGGAATGCCCTCCTCCACAGAGTAACTCAAGGATCCAGGATGTCCCAGGCAAAGCTGCCCAGTGTGTGTTGTCCAGTCCAGCCAGTCAGAGGCTAGAAGGGTCAGGTGGTCTCTGGTAGGAAGTCTGTGGGTCCAACAGACTCTCTTCTGACAACTCACTCATCAAAACTCAGTCACATGGCCCTGTGTGGATGGGGGTGGCTGGTGGGAGTGAGGAGAGATGTATTTCTGGATGGGCAGTCAGGAGGGTTGCAGAGGAGAGAGAATTCATTATTTGAACAGTTCACTGATATCCTGCGATTTAAATATGAAGTGGGCTTGCAGCTCTCTCTTCTATCCTCTGAGCAAGTCCCTTCTCTGTTCATTTGGACCTGTGGAATGGGATGATCTGATGGGATGCTGTTCTCGGGCTCAAGATTAGAGACTTTGCTAAAGATTCAAGTCTGGGAAGGAATGAGAGGGTGCAGGAAGCAAACAGGAAATCTTCAAATGACTGCTTTCTGCTAGGAACCCATTCCAACCCTGTGAAGAAGTTGAGTTTGGTGAAAATGCTTCTGAGACTGAGCAAGTGCTAGCTGCTAACTGCTAATTTTTTTTTTTTTTTTTCAAACAAAAGTCTTGAAAAAGCCCAACCACTCTGCTCCCTGTTTCCCTGAGGGGGAGTAGACAGAGAAGAGGCGGCAGGAAGCAGGAATCTGGAACAACTGCCACAGGGGCGGGATACCTTTGAGTAAGTACTCTACTGAAATAACACAGGTGGTGGCAGTGTACCCAGCTAATGGCTCCCGTGGGCTAGGTACTGCCTGACACAGAGATGGGGGTGGGAATAGCCACTTGAGGCCCAGGAAGACCAGTTGCTGGAAGAAGTTGACTTTGTTAAAAGCCAAGTCTGATCATATATGAAATTCTGCAGCATAAGATTCAACACCAACCACACTTCCCAAACTCATGTAGGGTCAGAAGTTACCAGCATGCTCTGCCTGATGCTGACATAGGGGAAGTTCATCCCATGTTTAGAGAATGTGGACCTCTGTGATTTAGGACAGTTACACAAGTACCTGATGACTACTCAAATCGGGTGACTCTCTTTGAATTGAATGCACACGGTCTTTCAATAAGAACTGACTCCTGGGCCAGAGGGATGGCTCATTGGGTAAAGGTGCTTGCCACCAACCCTGATGATCTGAATTCCATCTCTACGACTTACACAGTAGAAGAGAACAGACTTCTGCAAGCTGTTCTCTGATCCACATGGGTGTGTGCACCGCCCCCCCCCACAAAATAAATAGATAATTTTAAAATTTGAGTCATGCCGGAGGTGGTGGTGCACACCTTTAATCCCAGCATTCCGGAGGTGGAGGCAGGTAGATCCCTGTGAATTTGAGGCCAGCTTGATCTACATAACAAGTTCCAGGCCAGCTGGGCCTACAGGAAGACCTTGTCTCAAAAAACAAACAACAAAAAGAAAAAGGAAAAGAAACAAAAAACCCTGATCATAGGGCTGGGATGTGATCCAGTGGTAGAGCACTTACTTAGCATGTGGTCTGTCAGGATTTGATCTCCAGCACAAAAGAAAACAAAAAGCCCCACCTTGTGATATATGTAAAATACCATGCAGCAGCTCACACTCAACATGAGTGTGGCAGTTGTGTAAAGTAAGGCACAACTGTGGCTGCAGAAGGCTCTGAGTAGCTAGCTCTCTGGGCTCCAGGACTGTGGGCTGTTCAGCTGTCAGGCATGCAAACAGGTGGTGTGAGACAAGAGCTGCAGAGTTGGCTAGCTTTCCAACACCAGCAGCCGAGCTCCACTCAGTGCCAGCGAGTGGCACAGGCAGCCACTGCTCCCAGACACACTAGCCATCAGCCCATGGAGTCTGGGGCTCTCCTCCTGTTGGGCCTCTGCTCTGGTAAGTGCTAGGGGTGGGAGGTTTTCCTCTGAGGCTAAAGCACTGGCTGCCCCCAAAATCCAGTCTTGCTTCTTTGATGGGAACATGGGATGCAGGGCACACCAGTCAGAAGCTTCTCTGTCAGTCATTTCTTGAGGCTGGCTCCAATAGATTATATTTTTTTATTCTTTTTTGCATTTTCATTTGTTATGTATATGTATGTATTGCCTGCATATAGGTAAGTGCACCCGTGTTGTGCAGTGCCCTCGGAGGTCAGAAGAGGCCGTCGGATCCCCTGGGACTGGAGTTACAGTTGTTAGCTGCCATGTGGGTGCTGGGATTTGAACCTGGGTCTTCTGCAAGAACAACCAGTGTTCTTAACTGCTGAGCAATCTCTCCAGCCCCTATTTTTTTTTATTCTTGACCATAGATTCTTAGTTTGTATTATCCAGTTAAAGTGGGAGTTGCTTAGTCAAAGGCTACAAGGAACACATCCTGTGGCTCTGTTACTGCCTGGTCTGGGACTCAGCCACACGAATACCTTAGGACCACTTGTACAGATGGGTCACTGGTAGACCATGGGAGCATCCAGAGATGCCTTCATGTTCAAACCTCTAAGAGGCATGTCTAACCCCAGCCCATTGGCTGTATGTGGCCAAAGATGCCTATGAATGTGGCCCAAAACAAAATCATCAGCTTACTTAAAACATTATGAGATCTTTTTGTAACTTGATTGCATGGTTCTGGAATGTAAACTTTGTAGATAACAAAGCTGAGCTGCAATGTTAAAAGGCTGGAATGTAGACCAGCAATTTATAATCACAAATAATGGAATTCAGGCCTTTGTTGCTCTAGGAGGAGTCTGATAATGAAAAGAATTGATTGACAGCCACAGGTGCCAGAAAGGGAAACCTGTTAATAATTCTAACTAAATCATCTCCATACAAATAAAATATTCTCTGATTATTTTTTCAACTTCTGAGATTAAAAAAAAATCCTTATGAATGCCTTCACTCACCATTTAAAAAAAAAGGATCTTACTATATTTGGGCTTTAGTTTGAATTGAATTTAAAGAAGCTTGGACAGCCCTTGACCTGCTTTCTACTCTGGAATGTGTCACAACACAGCAGCTGAAATGCTGTCCGGGATCCCAGACTTCCGGCAGAGGGAAACAGGAGATATGTTCTGATTGCTTCCGATGGACAGTTACTGGTGGTATCCTGACTGAGAAACAAGGTGGCTGATGGCCCACAATTCTTCTTCTCTAACATTGCTCTGACAAACACAGATCTTCTGGGCAAGAGGCAAGGAGTGTATTAATTTTTTTTTTTTTTTTTTGCAGCAGTGAAATTGTGGGATATTAGTATGCTAAACTCAGATCGATTATATCTTGCAGAGTTTGAACTTGATCCAACTAAAGTTGGCTCAGTGTGTGTGTGTGTGTGTGTGTGTGTGTGTGTGTGTGTGTTTGTGTGTGTGCACGAACACCATGCTCAGTGAAAATTCGTGACAGGCTTCTATCAAAAAAAAAATGCCTATAAGGGGCTGGAGAGATGGCTCAGCAGTTAGGAGCACTGGCTGCTCTTACAGAGGACCTGGGTTCGATTCCCAGCAGCTGAATGGTAGATAACAACCATTGGTAACTCCAGTTCCAGGAGATCTAACGGCCTCTTCTGACCTCCAAGGGTATTGCATGACACAGGCACACCTACCTACATGCAGGCAAACACTCATACACATAAAATAAAAATAATAAATAAAATATTTTTTACAAAATACCTATGAAACCTCTTGGAATAACAAATTCATGCCCAGCTATTAAAAGAAGTATGTGCATTTGTGTGGCAGAGACAGGCAGGTCTCTGTGAGTTCAAGGCCAGCCTGGTCTATATACCGAGCCCCAGGCCAACTGGGTCTACCCTGTCTCAAAAAAACCAAAAAAGATAATGAAAAAAAAGAAGTATGTGTCATGTATTTTTATCAAACATGGAGTTTCCTAGTATGAATTCCCATGAGTAGTCCATAGAAATTCAGGCAGCCCAATTGTAAAGAAAGTAAAGTTGTGGGACTGGAGAGGTAGCTCAGCAGTTAAGAGCACTGGCTGCTCTTGTACAGAGGACCCAGATTCAAATCCCAGCACCTTCATTGTGGCTAACAACTCTCTGTAACTCCAGTTCCAGGGGATCTAACACCCTCTTCTGTCCTTTGCTTGTACTGTATGACATGGGTTCATTTATATACATGCTGGCAATACACTCATACATGTAAAAATTTAAAAATACATAAATAAAAAAGGAAGTAAAGTTGAAAGATAAGAACTGATCTACTCGGGGTCACATAACATAAATTTTGGAATATGATCAGTTAAAGACTTGTTTATTCCATTCACAGTCATAAAACAACCTGAAATTAAGACTTACCCAAGCTGACTAGTAGCAGCTCAAAAATTCCTTTTGCCCAAACCAAGAGTCAGTTCTCTACATACAAATACAAATTGGACTGGAGAGATAACTTAGTAAGGGATTGCTTTGCAAACACAAAGACCTTATCTCAGTCCCTATAATTCCTATTAAAAAAGCCAGGCATGATGGTACATGTTTGTGATCCCAGTGCTGGAGAGGTAAAGACAGGTGGATCCCTGGAGCTCACTGGAAGATGCATGCAGGCTAGCCTACACAGAGAGTTTGGGGGCAAGGAGATACTGTGTCTCCAAAAGAAGGTGGATAGAACCCCGAGGAATGATGCCTGTGGTTGTCCTCTGGCCTTCACATGCATATATGCATTTGAACATACAAACGTACACATATGCACATACAAACATACACACACACACGCACACAATGTAGATTAGACCAGTATCATATAAAAAAGCACACTTATGGCTGAATTCTCCTATATCACATCAGTCATTGGTGGTCAAAATTCTTGTTCATTTGTGGGCTAAATTCTGATTTATTCCTGTCAGGGCTACTTTCTCCATGCTGGCTTAACACATAACAATCACAATTCTATTTATACTTCACCTTTCATTTCAACCTTTTCCTCTCATCTCTCTTCCACCCCCAGAATCTCAAGCACTTCACTGCCACCTTTCTTAGGACACATTCTCTTCCAAGGAGTTCACAGCTATTTATGTAAATGATAAATGTCAATCACCATGTGGGAAGAAGAGAGGATTCATGCTAGAATTGTTAGCATTCCTAAAACAATGTCTGTATATAGTAGATAATCAACAAAGAGTTGGTGAATGAATAATCAGAACAAAGATTATCAATGTGATTTTGGTGGAAAAGGAGATGTGATACGATTTGTCACCCAGAGAGAACTCTGGCGATAACTACCGTAGCCAACAGCTCAAAGGAAGGGTTCTCCTGTCTGGCACTGTTTCTTCTTATGTGGCCTTCAACAATTCACATGGGCTCACATAGGGATACTGTATGTGTTACTTTTCAGTCGGTGTTTACACTAATACAATTCCCTCTGGGGTTTTTTTCTGTGTATTTTTTTGGGTTTTTTTGGTTTTTTTGAAACTGGGTCTCTCTGTAGCCCCAGCTGGCTTAGAACTTGCTATGTAGACCAGGCTGGCCTTGAACTCACAGAGATCCACCTACCTTCTGCCTCCCAAGTGCTGGGATTAAAGGTATGTACCAGCCTTATAGTCTGCCTTTTTTAAATTAAAAAGGCAGCAATATTGGAGTTTGGGAGGAAATCATGGAATTCTTCCTTGGAGTCTTATAAAATTCTATCCAACAATTTGCTTAATCATTCAATCACTGACCATCTGATAGGCTGTTTCCTGATAATAGATTATAGTAAAATTTCTATAAACACTGTGAAAAAATTTTCTGTCTCTTCATTGTTCCTCATTGAAACTAATCTGAGACCTAGAGACCTATGTGGAAATTTCTTCTGGAGGGAACAAGGCCCCTTGTCACTGGCTACAGTGGGAGGGGTGGAGGCAAATATGACTGGCATGCCTGTTTGTCCAGTCTTCCCTTCATAGTAGACCACCAGGCTGATCTGATCCCTTTCCTGCTACATAATGCTGACCAACTGCTGACCATCTGCTCTATTTTCTAGTATAGTCTTCTATGTAAAAACTGGGTCTTAGCACAACATCTTCTCTTGAAGGGTCATCAGGTTGCCGGAGGTTTGGAGTAGCCCATGAGAAAGTTCTGCGTAGTTGGGCCCCTTTGGTGTCCTTAGAAGTTTTGAGGTTCAGAAATCTTAGGAAGCTAGAAGTGAAGGTGTGGGCTAGGTAAGAGTCCATAAGGGTAACAATGAAGATGTTTTCACCGAAAGGTTCAGAAGTCTAATGGAAATTATACTTCCCTGTGGGGAGGAGATAAATTGCTTATTGTAATCCAACTTTTAACTAACAGGGAACCTGTAAAGGATCAACTCTCTGAACCTCAGTGACCTCACCTGTGAAACTGGGGTAAAAAACAGTCACCTCGCTACATCACTACAAGGACTCAAGAAGATAGTAGAAATTCAGGGGACTTAATCTAACAGTTCATTACAAAGCATCGATTATTTCACACAGATCCAGCTTTAGGTAAGAATTAACACTACTGGGCAAAGAGTCATTCATCCAACATTTAAAGTTGTCTTGGCCCATGGAGAAGTTTTGGTGACCTTAGCAACAGCCTGTGGAAAGATCTGGTTACATAAATCAGAGCAAATGGATCATGTGTCTGCTGCTTTAGGCAGGCCGCCCTCAGTCCTTGTCAGGCGGGTGTTATAGAGAGCCTTCAGGAGATATCTAGAATAGGCCTTCTCCTAGGAATGGAATGAGGGTATATGCAGCTATGAGGTTCCAGCCAGTGCATGCCACACAAGAACACCACATGGAATGGGAGGGAGATTAGGAGTTTTGCTTTCTCAGCCAAATGATCTTGGATAAGTCACCAGCCTTCTGAATGTCAGACCTCAGTAGCCTCAGAGTGGTACCTGGTAGAGATGGGAAGAAATGGTGTTCCAAATAAAACATAGGGTTTTCACTCTATTTTATTTGGTACATGGATCTACAGCAGTGATTTTTTTTTTTTTAAATTGTGGTTAAACACACATTACATGAAACTTACCATTTTAACCATTTAAGGTTACAGTTCAGTGGTACTAGCACCATTATCTAGTTCCAGAATTCTTTCTGGAATTATCTCAAAAGGAAACCCTATGCCCATTTAGGAGTCCTGTTCTCCTAGTCACTAGGAACCATCAGTCTTTCTACTTCTGTGGATGCACCTGTTCCAGATGTCTCACATACCATGTGCCCCTTTATGTTTGTCTTCTTTTGCTTAGCATAATGTTATGAAGTTTATCCACATTGCCATGGGATCAGGGCTTCATTTCTTTTTATGGGTGAATAATATTCCATTGTTTGGATATACCACAATTCATTCATTTATCTGTTGGGGGGCACTCCAATTGTTTCCACCTGAGCATTGTAATAATTGTAAATAATGCTGTTATTATTTTAGGAGTGCACCTAGGAGTGGCCTTGCTAGGTCATATGGCAATTCTGTGTTTAACTTGCCGAAGAACTGCTGTTTTATATTCTTCCCAGCAACATTTGCAATTTCAGTTTTTCCAACCCCACTGTCATTTTGTTAACTATGGCCATCCTAGGGGTTGTGAACCAGCATCTATTTTTGACTGTTCATGGCATCATGAGATCTGAAGCCAGCCTGTCCAAGATGGTATTACATCATGGCCAGACTCTAAAACACTCATACTGGATCTTTCTCCTTGTGTTTCTGGCAAATTTGGTACAGCCAGGGGCTCCATTAAGGGATGTCACCTGTCAAGGGTGCAAGTGTGGTAACAATTCAGCATGCCCCACCCCACTGTTGCTGGGTAAGGGAACCACAACAGCAACTGTCACTGGCAAGAGACTTAGGGCTACATTCAACAGGGGCGCTGTGGGCCTTTCATCAGCTGGCTGTGCTCAGATCTCCATGTTAGTGTGTGCAGGGTGGGGAACAGTGTCTGATAGGGTATGTATCTTTTGATGTCCAGCTGGCCTTGTTCTGGGCTCCGAACATGAGACCCGTCTGGTGGCAAAGCTATTTAAAGACTACAGCAGTGTGATTCGGCCAGTGGAGGACCACCGTGAGGTCGTGCAGGTCACCGTGGGCCTGCAGCTGATCCAGCTCATCAATGTGGTAAGACCCATGCTGGAGACTCCCATTTGTGCCCACCCCTCGCACGGGGCCCTCTCCCTTCAGCTTTCCTCTTCACACCCTAAAGATGGGTGTTCTCCTCTTCCAGGATGAAGTAAACCAGATTGTGACAACCAACGTTCGTCTGAAACAGGTAGCCCTGCAGGGAAATTGCTTATGCTGTTTTTATTCATCTGAAATCAAACCTGGGCCCAGAGGAAATGGATCTTATACCTAAATGTTGAAAGTAGCTACTTTGGGCTGGTGGGAGCATCTATACAGTTTGATTGGGGCCTTTTTTTTATGTTGAGCATTTTCTGTGTGGATTTGTTTGCCAAGGCTGCTGTAACCAAGTAATGTGAACTAGAGGCTTCAACAACAGGAGCATTTCATATCACCTGTGGGGGCCAGAAGTGTAATGAACACGCCATTGGAGCTGGTTCCTTCCCAGGGCTGGGGGACGTTTATTCCAACTTTCTGTTTAGCTTTTAGATGGCTGTTGTCATGTTCACAAAACATTCTCCCTGTGTATTTATGATGATATGTGTATGTGTATGTGTGTATATGTGCATTTATGTGTTTGTGTTTGTGTATGCATGTTTGTGTGCATGTGTGCGTTTATGTGTGCATGTGTGTTCATGTGTGTTTTGTGTGTATATATGTGTTTGGGTGTATGTATGTGTGTGCACATGTATATGTATGTGCTTGTGTGTTCATATGTGTGTGCATGTGTGTATGCATGTGTACATGTCTGTGTGTGCATGTGTGTATGTTTGTGTGTGTGCGTGTGTGTATGTGTATATGTATTTGTGCATATGTGTATTTGTATATGTATGTGTACATGTTTGTATGTATGTGCATGTATATATGTGTTTGTATGTGTGTGCATCCGTGTATGTGTTTGTGTGTAGGTGTACATGTATGTATGTATGTATGTGTGTATATGTATGTGTATGTTTAAATTTCCTCTTTTTATAAGAACACAACACACGGGACTAAGGATTACCCTAATGACCTCATTTTAATTTAATTCCTCTGAAAAGACCCCACTAAGGTCCCATTCTGAAGTATCTAGCTAGCACTTGCATGGATGGATTTGAGGGGAGCATAATTCATCAGGAACACTGTTATGCAAGCTTGTTGGCCCTTTGCGACTCTCAGTCACGCTAGATTAGAACACTGCTTTTTGCTGTTTAATTGGGTAAATGTCTCCATTTCTAGCAATGGGTGGATTACAACTTGAAATGGAATCCAGATGACTATGGTGGTGTGAAGAAAATCCACATTCCTTCGGAAAAGATCTGGCGGCCAGACCTTGTTCTCTATAATAAGTGAGCAAAGCCTGAGGGGTGAGGGGGGGAAGGACTGCATCCATCTCAGGGGGAGCCAAGTGTCCTTGGAGGGACTGCCACATACCCCTTACCACTCACTGTTCATGTTAAATCGCCCTCAAAACCAGGGCCTCAGTGACAGGCTAGGGTGCCATATGGAGTCTCATGTTATGAATAGAAGCAATTATTGGAGCCAAATTGAATCAGGGCTGGGGGAGGCGGGGAGGCACTAAACTCCGAGAGGCCTTGTGGGATATGTAGTAACCACCCAAGGCATCTGAACTTCCCATCTCTGAGTTCTTTGGAATCATATATCTTCCCTGCCAAATGGGTCTCAACTCCTGGGGTTGTTATTCATCTCATCCCGCATGCCGTCCTGGCACTAACGCCCGGATGCTTGCACCTGCTGTCCACCGGGCCCGTGACAGACTGCATGTTGTGAAATTATAATGTGATTCAAGACACTTGGTTTAATGACATGTTCATTATCATACACCCTTCATTTGTCAGGGAATGTTCATTTCAAAGAACACCCTTCTGAGGCAGGAGCTTGCGCAGTTAGCTAGAGGATTTACAGAATGATACCACACATGCATCTGGAAGCAGGCCGTGTGTCCCAGCAGATGTTCCAGGGGGTTGCAGGGCCAGTGGATGAAAATGATGCCCTCTGGCAGCTCCTTCCAGGTTCTACCACACCCTGCCCAGCTATACCTGGGAACTGAGCTTGAGCCCAACTCCCTGTCACTGGTGGAACCTTTCTGGACAGATGTGGGGATGCCTCTGGTCCAGGAACATCTCAGTGTGTCTACCATATGTGAAGCCCTAGATTCATCTCCAGGACTCAGGGGATGGGCAAACAGAAGTTTTGACTTTTGGAAAGCCCAGGTTTCTAGCTTCTGAGGAAGAACCCAACTATATGGCAGCACTGGGCGTCAGACCCACCCAGCCTCAGTGGGCAGAACTGTACTGAAGGCCAACCATCTGGAGTGAGGGGCTCTCAGTCCTTCACTTTCAGCTGTAGTCCCTCCTTGCTGGCCCTAGAGGCTTGGAGCTTGTGACCTGCCTCACTGAGTTCTAAATAGTTCTTAGAAAAAGCACCAGTCCCTCCCCTGGTCACAGTTTTCTCAGTTAACTCTCAAAGTACTTGGAGAGAAACAGATGGAGGCTAGCATTACAGAAGTCTGTGCAGACTGGAAAGGAAAGCTGAGGTGCTGTGGGCCATGTTCCCTGCTGCTTCTTGACACCTGTGCATGCCCAAATTCTTTCCCAGATACTCTGACTCAGGGGCTTGCTTAGAGCTCAAGAATCTGCATCTTCCTTTAATTGATTGCTTGGGTCTTGCTATGTAGCCCAGACTGGCCTTGGATTCTCAATCCCTCTGCCTCAACCACAGCTACAGGAGGGCCCACACTCAGCTAGTGCTTAGGAATCTGTTTTTAACATGCACCTGGGTGAATCTTATCATCAGATCAATTTGGGAAACATTGCCATAGATTAGAAAGCAATGTTACTGAAAGAAAGCTTCCTATAATTAGCACCTGAATAATTAGCTGTCTCCTGTTACCATCTCCTAGCAGAACCTGTGGCTCATCTGCCACTTGGAGTCATTTTCCTCTTCTATAACTGTAGTGCAGATGGAGACTTTGCCATCGTCAAGTTCACCAAAGTGCTCCTGGACTACACGGGCCACATCACATGGACACCTCCAGCCATCTTTAAAAGCTACTGTGAGATCATCGTCACCCACTTCCCCTTTGATGAGCAGAACTGCAGCATGAAGCTGGGCACCTGGACCTATGATGGCTCTGTGGTAGCCATCAACCCGGTAGGTGATGCTTCCTGGGATGAGTCTCCATCCAGGTCTCCCAGTCTGCCTCTGGACAAGAACTAGAGTCATCTGGTTAGATGACTCTCATTTGTGAAGGTTTTTGATGTGCTGCCCAAGAGAACTAAGTGGGCTTAAATGAATCTGCTGTCTCAAGAATTCTGATTAGTGTGTCTTCGGGAGGGCTGGGGTGCAAATGTTTCAGTTTCCTGGAGATTAGTGTAGAGCCAAAATGAATAACCCTAATAGTCCAAATCCACTTATGCTACAGGCAAGGAACTTAAGACCCCAAAGCAGAGATGGCCCAGTATCCCTTCTGGGAAGGTGACCCTCAGAACAGGAAACAGTTCCCTTGTCATGACCCTTCTTTAGGGTAATGTGCCTGGGGTTTGCAAACCTCATTTTACTTCTCAGGAAAGTGACCAGCCAGACCTGAGCAACTTCATGGAGAGTGGGGAATGGGTGATCAAGGAGGCCCGGGGCTGGAAGCACTGGGTGTTCTATTCCTGCTGCCCCAACACCCCCTATCTGGACATTACCTACCACTTCGTCATGCAGCGCCTGCCCCTCTACTTCATCGTCAATGTCATCATTCCCTGCCTGCTCTTCTCCTTCTTAACCAGTTTGGTGTTCTACCTGCCCACAGACTCAGGTGGGTGCCGTTGCCACGACTACAGCTGCTGTGGATCTCATGCTGCTATTTTAGGGACAGCCAGGAATAACTGTGTGCTAACAGAGGCACGGGGGCCCAAGTCATCATTGCTGGGGGAGGGGATGCAGTTACCTGGTGGCCCTGTATAGTGGAAAGTGATTGTGGGTGGAGATCAGAGTTGGGCAGAGTTGAACATGACCCTGAGGGTGCACATCTCCAACTCAGTTCAGTTAGAGTGGATTAACTGTCAGTACCTGTTTGCTCTGTATCAACAGTGTGCCCAGAGACATGGAGGCATGTGCTCACAGCAGCTCCTCGTGCCACTGTTCTTGTGAAGTCACTCCCTACACACTGACAGTCTGGGGCTTCCTTGACTTAAAACTCACCACATCAAAGTAGCTCTCCCATGTGGATTTGCAGATGGCAGTATGTTTGCACACCAGATTTTACTTCCCAAGTGGCTGTTTTTCCTCACATAGCAGCCTGGACAACTTACTTACCTCCTACTGAGTGATCATATCATCAAACATCAGTGATCTAATGAGGAGATAGGTTACCCAGATTCTTACATGTTCCTTCTCACAAGCAATTTGTGGCAGGTAAGTAGGAAAAAGGAAAAATGGTGCAGACAGCCTTCAAACTTATGATAAGCAGCAATTTTACTAAAATGACGAAAACTACAAAAGGTGAAATACAGCTTTGCAGCAAATGCTTGTTGAATGACTGTTATGTGATTGGATATACAAGCAGTATCCCAAAGAGACAGCAATACCTCACCCACAGAATGTGTGTGATCATAGTACTCAGTTTACCTTTTCTTTGTCCTTTTATTTGAGGAGTCTCACTCTGTTGCCTAGACTGGCCTCAAACTTACAAGGCTCCCATCTCAGCCTGTACTCCTTTAGATTTTTCATTACATTTATCTATTCATTTGTGTGTGTGTGTGTGTGTGTGTGTGTGTGTGTGTGTGTGACAATGTGCCAGTAGAGGTTGAAGGACAACTTGCTTGAGTTGGTTCTGTCCTTCAACTATATGAGTTATGAATCCTGGGAATGAAACTCAGGCTGTCAGGTTTGGTGGCAAGCGCCTTTACTCACTAAACCATCTCAGTGGTCCTGTACTCCTTTCTAATATTTTTTATTTTATCAATCTTTTAAAGATTTTTTTAAAATTTATATTTATATCTATGTGTCTATATGAGTGTATGCCAGGTATGTACAATTTCCTTTAGAGGCCAGAAGAGGGCATCAGATCCCCCTAGACCTGGAGTTACAAGTGATTGTGAGCTACTTGATGTGGGTGTTGGGAACCAAACTTGGGTCCTCTGTAAGAGCAGCAAGCACTCTTAACCCCTGAGCCATCACTCTGGCCTGCTACCCCATACTCCTTTTTAAACAAATAAGTAAAATAAATATTTTTTAGCTTCCTAATCAAATGAAGCTTTTGGAATTGAATAGAGAAAACACTGCCAGGCCATTATGGAAACTAATTAGCATCTATAAATATTGAACAGTTTATGCTTGAAAAACAGAACCATGACTACACTGTGTGGTAAACATTAGCTATTATTATCAGTATTATTAATCAAGAAATGATATGTAACTTGATAACTATTTTATATTTATAAACCCGACTTCTCTTTCAGTTTTGACAGGTAGAATTGAGGATGTCTTGTTTTATTTGCTCTGTCTGCTCTGTTTATAGCCATACTTAGTATTCACAGGGGTCTGGTTCTTGGAAACCCGCAGATACCAAAACCCAAGGACGCTCATCCCTTATATAAAGGTGTTATAGTTACATGGCCCCCCTTCACATACCCCATATATTTAAAATTATTCTCGATTACTTATAATACCTAACATACCTTAAAGGTGACATAAACTATTATCATCCTGTATTGTTTGGGGGAATAGTGACAAAAAAGTCTGTATATGTTCACCATAGCTACAATTTTATTTTTCTAAATATTTTCAGTCTGAGATTGGTTGAATTCTTGGATACAGAACTTGCAGATACAGAGGACTGACAGTATTTCAAACATTAGAATGGGTCTACAGCAGCAAACAGGGCAACACAAGGGTTCCCCAGGGACACCAGCAAGAGCCTACGGTTCTCTCCTGCAGTCCACAAAGACAGCCCAGTGCCACTCAACTAACTTGACCTGCTACCTGCCCAGCGAGGATCTTGAGACTCAGAACCTGAAGGCCAAAGGCAGGGGTCAGGGATACCTCTATTCCCTTATGAAAAACAAAGCAAAGCAAGGAGTCAGTGAGAAGATGACCTTTGTAGATGAAAGTGAAAGAGGGCAGGAAGGTCAGGAGATCCTCAGGGTGTTAGGACAGCACTTGGCTGGCAGACTTTGCCCTTTTCTCAGCTTTGCACTTGGAGCTTGCTTCCATAGTGAAAGGAATATACTTCTAGGCTGCCCATCCACCTGCTGGATAACAGACCAGGCTGCAGCTGAGATTTACAAGGTTTAAATACATTGTGCTGCTGAAGGAGAAACTGGCACCCTGGGTCTAGCTTGCTAACCCCAAATCCCTCTCAGTTTCCTGGGTTCCAACTAGAAGGAAGAGTGTGGGGCATGGGATGAAGTTTCCATTCACTGTTTGGCAACCTCTTATGGAAACACTGGCCAGTTTCCGCTGTCAGTAGGGTTGAGGCGCTGAAGTTACACAGGAAATCCTGCAGGAAAGAAATCCCCAGAATTATCCTTTGAGAACATGCTGGTCATATTTCTTCATGCTTGGGTTTTGGTGGCAAATGAGTTTGCAAGCACTGTCTTGATGGAGTGCTTTAAGCAACAGTTTTCCTCTCAGTTCCAGAGGCTAGACATGAGATTGAGGGGCTAGCAGGGTTGGTCTCTTCTGAGGCCACTCTCCCAGGCTTGCAGAAGATCACCTTCTCCTTCTGTCCTCACATGTCCTTCCCTGAGCGTGTTCCTGTCCAAATCTCCCCTTACAATGACATCAATCATTTAGATTGAGGCTCCATCCCCCCATTTAACCATAATAGTCTTTTTAAAAGCTTCATCTCCAAATACAGTCACATTCTGAGGTTCTGGGGATCCAGGGATGTGAGATTCAGCCCATGATAGGTGGGTTGTTATATTTTTTGCCTTTGTCTTTCCAGGGGAGAAGATGACACTGAGCATCTCTGTCTTACTGTCCTTGACTGTGTTTCTTCTGGTCATTGTGGAGCTGATCCCCTCCACGTCCAGTGCCGTGCCCTTGATTGGGAAATACATGTTGTTTACCATGGTGTTTGTCATCGCGTCCATCATCATCACTGTCATCGTCATCAACACGCACCACCGCTCTCCCAGCACCCACGTCATGCCTGAGTGGGTCCGGAAGGTGAGGGCCTGCTCCACACAGGGAGGATAGGATACCCACAGGGCTCCCCTTCAGTGGAGCCAGTGGAGTCTTAGCTAACCCCTGTGAGTAATTAGGACTGAAAGTCCTTTCTGGCCTTTAGAGGACCTGTGGAAGGAACTGTCCTTGGCTTCTTTATAGGGACAGCTCATGTAGCTTTCCCAGAGACAGAGGAAAAATAAAATGAACAAAGCCCACTCCAAATTCGAGCTTAGCAAACTGCTTATTAGCAATGAATAGCTCTGTGCTTCTTATGCTGGGATATTTTTTTGTTTGTTTGTTATTTTGGTTTTTGATAGGGTCTCCTTAGTCCCAGCCCACCTGGAACTTGCTATGTAGACCAGGCTGGCCTCTTTGTTATCTCACAGAGATCTGCCTCAAGTGCTGGGATTAAAGGTGTTTGCCACCATGCCTGGTGCTGGGATATTCTTAAGGTTCCTGCTTGCATGTCTTCTGGTTTATGCTTATTTTTGCTGGTAAGAAGCATCAGTTGAGAAAAAAGTAAGGACCAGAGAGAGGGGAGGGCCTTGAGGAAAGAGTGCCAAGAGGAAAGAGCATGCTCTCAGATATTTATATTATTGGACTTGAAATGTGTTAACATTTCAAATATGTCTTGTAACTTTAATTAATTAATTAACCAATTAATTGATTGTATGTTTATGCTAGGATTAAACTCAGGGCTTTAAACATCCTTAACAAGCACTGTACCACTGAGTTACATCCCCAATCCAAATATGTCCATAAGGATAACAGTTCATAGAGATCTTAAAGTGTAGTACCTTCGCATTGGGAATTAACAAAGGAACTTGCAATTGGCTAGAAATTTATGCTTTTGGGGTTGAGCCATCCCTGTTAGAGGACTCCTGGCAGTGACCCTCTGCACAGTTACTTCAGGAACAAAAGCCAGAAGAAAAGTTGTTTTGAGGGGCTGAATGCTTATATATTTGAGGCAGCAGAAACCCATCTTTAAGCATCTGGTCCTGCAAACACTGCCAGATCCTTTCTGTCGACTGCAGGGAGTTGTCAAGTTTGATGTCCTCCAAAGGTTGATGGCTGCACTCAGGCTCCCTCTGGTGGTGAACTGCTCCATTAACTCACCTCGGTTGACCACCGTAATCCAAATGTACTGTAAGAGTATATAGAGGAGTCTTTGAGAACATCTAGTATAGCCCTTTTGTTTTAAGGACAAGGAGGTCGAGGTCTAGAGAGGCCAAATGCTTTAACCAAGATCACATTGCTAATTTAAAGACAGTGATGGTTGCCCGAATTGATGATAAGTCTCACACCATGAATTTCTTTATTGTGTTAGGTTTTCATCGACACTATCCCAAATATCATGTTTTTTTCCACAATGAAAAGACCATCCAGAGATAAACAAGAGAAAAAGATTTTTACAGAAGACATCGATATTTCTGACATTTCGGGGAAGCCAGGGCCTCCACCCATGGGCTTCCACTCTCCCTTGATCAAGCACCCTGAGGTGAAAAGTGCCATTGAGGGTGTCAAGTATATCGCAGAGACCATGAAGTCAGACCAGGAGTCCAATAACGTAAGCTTTGTGGCCTGAAGTCCACACTTCTGGGTTTAAACAATCAAATGCATGAGTGTGGATGGATGGGCTTGACTTGACCAGTATGTTGACTTTAAGCCACTGTTCATGACCTAAGGTGTACTATGGTGACCTTTCTAGGCTACCTTAGTAACTCATGTGCTGTAAAATAATTATGTAAAAACTACAGATCATAACAGCAGCCCACAGATGTTGAGGCTTTGAGATTCACATATTGAAGGGCTGGTAGAAGATGTGCAACATGATGCTGTGAGTCTGTGAACCACCTTAGTGAGATACTGTCTAATGTGCTCTTCTCTCTCAGGCGGCTGAGGAGTGGAAGTATGTTGCGATGGTGATGGACCACATTCTCCTTGGAGTCTTCATGCTGGTCTGTCTCATCGGGACCCTGGCTGTGTTTGCAGGCCGGCTTATTGAGCTACATCAACAAGGATGAAGGAAAACTGAGTTGCGCCTACCTCTGCTCCAGGACCAGCCAGAGCAGGAGGAGGCCAGAAAGAGGAGGATCTGTCTACTTTAATACCTTCTTACTTATCAAATATGCAATTTTCTACACTTCCTATTAATGCTAATGATTTATGTTTATACCAGTTATGACCTTGAAGTGTTTTTTTCTTTGTTTCTCTCTTGAGTGAACCCTTTCCAGTAAATAAAAATGGATCTTTAAAAGAATTATTCATTTCCAAGAGGCACCTGGAAGGGTATAGCTTGGCTTCTCAAGGTTTTCTGTTGTGTTGTCATTTGCTAAGTATTATAGTTAAAGCACAGAGTCTTTTGCTTTTAAGATTTACAGTGTTGTGCTTACTGGGAAAGTCCTGTCTACCAGACCTCCAAGAGACAAAAAATTTGGTGTGGACAGAGGGGAAACAGAAGTAAGGTAACTTTTACATCTTAAAAATTTAATTGTGTGTGTGTGTGTGTGTGTGTGTGTGTGTGATATACATGTGCCATGGCAAGCATATGGAGGTCAGAAGACAACTTCTGAGAGTCAGTTCTCGTCTTCTACCTCTTTTGAGGCAGGTCTCTATTGTTTCTGCTGCTGTGTTGCATACTCCAGACAAGCTTCCAGAAGCTTCTCCTGTATCCACCTCCCATTTTACCAAAGGAATGTTGGGATGATAGATGTATGCAGCCATGCAGCTTTTAACATGGGTTCTGGGATTGAATTTAGGTCATCAAGTTTGTGCTTGATGATAAATTGCTTTTATCTCCAAAGCATGTCACTGGCCCAAATTCAACTTTTAAGACAATTAACATACAAATAGCATTTTAAAAAATCCCACAAGTTTTAAAGTAGATTTCTGGAACCAGGAGATGGGGAAAGGCCTTTCAGATGTCTTTTATCTTGAGTCCTTTTTGTACATCTAAGTATGTACTGCACACTACTGAGCTGTACCTGAGCCCCAACTTTCCCAATTTAACAGGGCCCTTGTGTTTTATTCTCAGGATTTGAGGGAAACAAGTCATGATTATTGAGTATGAGCCTCTGACACTATGAAAATCATCTCAACTATATGGTTTTATTTCATCACAATAATTTTCATATAATGTCCATAATTCCTGTATTATAGAAATGAAATGAATGGGGAAGTTAAGTTCTGCTCCCAACTGGGAATAGAAGAATTGAGATCTGCGCCCAGACCTCAAGACTCTAAAGCAACTCCTCACTTGGACCAGTCATTTGCTCACTTGCTGTCCTGGCACCTCTAACCTGATCTAAGCCATTCTGTAGCTCTGGTCGGTGTTGTTGAGAGCTTGAGTTTCAGTGACATCTATCTTTCTGCACTCCAATTAAACTTCCTGGCTTTTTTCTATTAGTCATGTTTGGAGTTTACATTCTATGAATGGAATCAGAAATGTATGCATATATCATTGCCATTTCTAAAATTCTGAAGAATCATTTCTTTTCTCCATGGTATACTCTAAGCTTAATACAGTTTACCTCAGATCAAGAAACTGTGTGGCTCTGAGCTCAAAAAAGACTTTTGAATCACCAGAACACATCTGATCTGTGTCAACTCCAGGAAGAGCCATAAACTATGCAGCTAGGAGGCCTGGCTGAATCCAGGTGGTTTCAATCTCCTATGTTGGGGCTCCCTGTCACCCTGTAGCAGATCTGGGCTCTTTCATCTAAGAGTAAAACAGTTTTCATTTTAAAGGAAAAACTATTGGCAGCTCCTCAAAAAGTTACATCCAGGGTTATCATATGATCCAACAATTCCACTCATAGGTACAGATCCAAAGGATTAAAAACAGGGACTGACACATATTTAGGTAAAAGTGTTCATAGAATGAAAGAGCCAAGAGAAGGAAGCAATCCAGGTTCCCATCAGTGGATGAATGGATGAGCAAAATGTATTGAGATCAGGGCCTCGTGTGTGTGTGTGTGTGTGTGTGTGTGTGTCTGTGTGTCTGTGTATCTGTGTGTGTGTTTGCGTGTCTGTGTGTGTCTGTGTCTGTGTCTGTGTGTAGTCCAAAGGACAGACTTCAGTGTCGTTCCTCAGGTACCATCTACCTTTCATTTTTTGAGTCAGGGTCTCTCACTGGAATGGAACTTGCCAAGTGGGTGAGGCTGGCTGGCCAGCGAGTCCCAGGAACCTGTCTCCACCTCTCCAGTTCTGGCTTGTGCCTCTACACTCAACTTTTTTACATTAAGTTTTAAGGATCCAATTCAGGTCCTTGTGGTTCCAAGGCAAGCACTTTCCTGACTGATCTACTTCCCAGACTCTGGTCCAGGGCTTCTTAAACTTTTTCTGCTCATGATCACTTTTTGCTTGAGAAATTTCATATAGGAATATACAAAAGGTATAAAAGAAAATATTTGTTGAAAATAAATCAAATTTATTTTTTAAATTTCTTTGATATACACATAATTTTACCACCTATTATAGATCAAAACAGACTTGCTTGAGATGGATGTGCCTGTTTGTCTCACAATCTAATCCAAATATATGCTAATTTGATACCTGAGTGCTAAGAACGATGGCAGGAAATTTTGTTTTGTTTTGTTTTCTGTAATTAAACCACTGTGTCTCTATAAGAGCAGAAGACTTTGTACATACAGTAAAAGCATTACAGTTCCTAACATACAATTGTCTCGAATCCGAGCAGAGGCATTTTGGGCAGCATAGTGACGGCACGTACCGTTCAAAGTGCTCGTGTGCTCAGAACCAAGGCTGCTGAGAAGTCCTGCAGGACAGCATGTGCAAATGCTGCCCTCAGATTCATGGTGTGTTAATTTTAAATTAACTCCTGGTAGTTGTACATCGAGACTTTTTACTGTTGCCAAATTTTTCACAACCCCACATTCGGTCATACAGCCATGGGGTCATAATGTATAGTTTACAACGGAACATTATTCAGCCTTGAATGAAATTGTGCTCAATGCTATCACATGGCTTAAAAACATTATGCTAAGTGAAATAAACCAAATCCAATGGACAAATGTAAAATTCCACGTATACATGGAAAGTGAATGGAATTATGTATAGGCAGAAACAGAATGTAGGTTATTGGAAGCTAGGGAAAGGGAGAATGTGGAATTAGTGTTAGTGGGGACAGACTTTTACTTTGGCAAGATGAAAAAGTTCTGGAGATGGACTGTCGTGATGTCTATGCAGTATCATGGATCTATTTGATACCACAGAGGTGTACACCTAAAAATATCTAAAGTGGTGAATTCCGTGTTCTATGTAGTCTACCACAATTTTTAACAGAAGAGTAAGTCAAAGACCTCAGTACTGGGCACTGACTATAGATTCAGAGACCAGACTAAAGACCTGCTCTGTCTACTCATCCTGCTTTATAGGCAAGGAAATTAAGACCTCAGGTCACAAAGATGGTTAGTGGCAACCAGCTCTGATTACTCCTATTCTCATGCTATTGTGTGTGTGTGTGTGTGTGTGTGTGTGTGTGTTTGTGTGTGTGTGTTTGTATGTGTGTAAGTGTAGGTAGAGAGACCAGAGGACAACCTCAGATGTCACTCCTCAGGTCGATAAGAAGCTAAGCTGTAATGCATCATGGTGTCCTGGCTATGGGGCAGAGAAAGGACCTGACAAAATCTGGACCAAGTCTACCATTTAGTTACTAGTTAGTACTGGGTTAATCTTGAATGCTTTATCTTTACAAATACACCACAGCTCTGCCAACATGGAAGTGGAAGTGGGTGCAGAGCACATGGGAATCATCTGTACTCTATGAAGCTTTTCCAAGGAATCTAACACGCCAGAGGCTTGTGGATCCACGCAGAGGCTTGTGGATCTTTGTGAAATTGAGGACAGCCTGGTCTACATAGCAAGTTCTAGGCTAATTGAGGCTACAAGGAAACCCTGTCTGAAAACAACGACAACAACAAATTGAAACAACAAAAAATTGGGGTGCACATAGTGGCACACACCTTTAATCCCGACGCTCAGGAGGGAGAGGCAAATATGATTCTGGATCTGTGATCTCCAGACCAACCTGGTCTAACAAAACAAAACAAACAAAACAAAACTTTTTAAAAGACAGATCTTGTTTGAAGGTCAACTCGACAAGACTGAGAGAGGTTAGTAAAACACACTTTTGAGTGTGTCAGTGAGGATTTTTCCAGACAGGGTCAATTAAGGTGGAAAGTCACCCTGAAAGTGGACAGCATCATCTAATAGGTTCATCATCTAGGTTGGTGAATCAAATGGAATCAAAGTGAAAAACGAGCAAACCAGTCAGCTCCTGTGTATTAGTGACTTGCCTTGCTGAGACAAAACACCCGACAAAGCAACATAAGGAAGGAAACGATTATCTTGGCACAGTTTTACGGGCAGGGATGGTACAGTGGTCAAGAAACAGAATGTGATGAACAGGAAATGGGGCAGGTTTTTTGAAATCTCAGTGATCCACTTCCTTTAGCAAGGCTACATGTCTTAGAGGTTCTACAACTTTCCCAAAGAGCACCACCAGCTGAGGACGAGGTAGTCAAACACACAAGCTTCGGACACAAGCTTCTTCAACCTTTCACACACATCAGACACAAGCTTCTTCAGCCTTTCAATGCAGACTAACACTGACTCTTCAGGGAACTTTCAGGCCTCAGACTGGGTTGCATCATCAGATTCCAACTTCCTGGGCTGAGCTACTGGGTTCTCTGGCCCTCTAGCAAGCAGACAGCCATTGTTGGACTATCCAGTCTCTAATCATGTAAACCAGTCCAATGAATCCCCTTTTATCTTCTATTGGTTCTGTTCCTCAGGAAAACCCTAACAACATAACTTGGACTCAAGAAGAAGAAGAAGAAAAAAAGCAGAAATGATACTTTAAAAAATGTATGTGTGCATACATGTGTGCATTCATGTGTGTGCATGAGGTGCGGAGGTCAGAGGACAACCTTGGGTGTCCTTCCTCAGAAATGGTATCCACCTTCTTTGGGACAGGCTTTCTCATTGGCCCAAAGCTCACCAGGGTCAAGCCTCAGGAATTCCCATCTTGCCTCTCCAGGACTGGAATCACAAGCATGTGCCACCACACCCAGCATTTTCACATGAGTTCTGGGGATGGAACTCAATTCTACATGCCTGCATAGCCAGCGCTTTAACCACTGAGCCATCTCCCCTTCATGTCAGCACTCCTTTCACCTCAAAGTTTAGGACTCTTTCTACACTCTTATGCAGTTGTTGGCCAGAAGGCAGAGA